TTTGTGAAGTACTAACAACTGAATCAAGAAGATATTCTCAAATCACCGCCAGTGCTAGTCTGCTTTTAAGGAAAACGTATACTTGAGTGAATGCTAGAAGCGGAAGGTGGACAGGCAGCCCAAAAAACTGTTAAGAAAACAAAGTGACGTACTGAATTCAATGAGCATGCGACCGAATCCCTGCCTCTGATAGTGTGGCATCACTAAAAGGCAGGAGAGATTGTTGAAGGTGGCGGGTGGAAGATCTTGCTCCTCCGCCTTGTGCTAGAGACAACGACAAAGAATGCACGCTATTTTATTCATAACAAGCAAAGTGATTGCAGTTGAAGTCTAAAGTGAAGTGAAGATGAAGTAAATCTTGAAGGTTACACAAGGAGCATTATCGCTTGCTTTAAAAACCCCAGACAAGAGCGGAAATGCCGAATTAAGTGGCGCACCGATCAATGATATTCAATCACTCCAATACTGTAGAGTACAACATTTGATGAACATTTCTTTTTAGAGATGAATTCATGGAACATTAGCCAAAATCATTCATCAATCGTCTAAAGCTGCACAGGAATGTGAAGGGAACAAGCTCAAGATAACTCAAGCTCAGATCACAGAGCTCTTTGTGTTGAAAATCCAACTTTTAGATTTCTGAGCGATTCGCAATAGGTTATTACCGTTTCCCCTGGTCGGCAAACTCCTACAAAATGACTAATCACAAAGAACCTACCACAAGAGGCCAAATCCAGTTAACAACAACAAATCAACAGATATGGGCGTGATCGCGTCTTAAGCACAGATCGGAGAGATGCTCAGCCCCACAGCTGTAAATACGTCGCCACCCCCATCCCCAAATACTTACTACAAAAGTATCACGAGCTTTCGAAGCCTTCGTTGGGTTTGAAGTTGTAAGTCCATCGTGAAGATCGTAGAACCACTCAGAAAACTAATTGGCTTATCACTTAATATTATCTCATAAAACTTTAAAGGACACACAAAAGAACTTGCAAGAAAATTACTACAAAAATTTGCAAAAGTGCAGGTGGAGAGCCATGTTGAAACAGGTTAGTTGTTTTTAATTCCACAAAGCAAGTACATCTGCTCATCAGGCCCAGTGGATGTTGGAGTGATAAGAAGACACTGTTGTGAGTGGAAAGCAGCATCACAGAAGGAAATAAAAAGCACTTCCATTAGTAGTGACGAAAGAGAGTAACAGACGGTGAACGACGCAAGTGGGTGGACAGATGAAAGCAATCCTACTTAAGAATTGTGGCATTGTCCATGTCATATACGTTTGTGAGTGCGTCAACAGTGTTGCCAGAGACCCCTCACAAATCAGGAAAGAGATATGAACCAAAATTATAACATTTTTCGCTGGATGGAAAAGGCGATGCAAGCGATGCTCATATTGCAAAAAAATAATCGAAATAAGAAAGAAAGAATAAAAAGTAAGGCCTTGCGTTCCGTTAACAGACAGTTGTAAATGAGCTACACAAAAACCTAGATAAACTGTCCAGAATAGTATCGATTCCAATCCAAATACCTTAACAGTTCCGTTCAGTTTGATGTTTGACAATGGAAGTAGATTATGGGCGAACCGCTAACAGACTATTTAGATGAGTTAAAACTTTTAACATCCATGAAGAGAAGTGCAGAATTTTCGAGCATCGAACAAGTTTGGGTCAATACTCTTCACTGACAATAACAGTTCAAGGTCAGACACCAGTTTCGAGACAATCGCCAACGGAGCAGGATGGAATAATGACTTTCAATAATTGTGGAGAAACCAAATTATCAAGCGAATAATGATTAACGTCCGAAATTGAAAGCATAGGGCAAAATAAACACATTTTCTATTCCCCACCTTGGAAAAGTAACCAACGATGTGGCATCCAGACTCATCAGCTTCGGTTAGAATGTAGAAGAGGAACGCTGACACCCGGTCAATCTCATGAACGGTTTTCTGTTTCAAGTACAACTTTGCCAGAAGACAGAGGTTGTGACAATACTCCTGAGAATAAAAAAAGGTTTACTGAAGCACTATAAGTAAGGCATGCATGAGTAAGTATTGACAATTAAAACGAACAGTCGCCAACACATTAGCACTTTGTCGAAGAAATTGTGTGGTTTTCAACAGACCCAACTACAAAAAGTCTCACAAATCCAAGACAGTAGAATAAACAGGGCTAGTTATAGACGCCGTATTGTACGAGCTGCACTGATTCAATCGGTAATCTTTACTTACTCAAACACACTACCTATTCCAAAGCACGTAACACGAAGCTAATTTAAATTTCGTGAGCTCTGCTCAAGTTTACTTGCTGCCCTGACAGTTATGTTCAACGCAAACTCCAAAACGATGGTGCTCAGAAGACCATAGTGACTGTTCCCATCCTATTTACGAATCATTCAAAGATGAGGGAATCTCCCGAACGAAACCTCCGAAAAAATGAGACCACTTTCCATACCCTCACTATGTGCTGTAAATCATGCAACGAGTCGCCCAAAAATGGCTGCACCAAGTTCAGAAAAACCTATATATAACTGTAACTATACTTGGCCACCAAATTGAGTAAATCTAAATTCCCGTGTGGAGAGCTGTCGAAAAAGATCTTATATCAAACATCAAACAGAAATAGATGACGGGGCAAGGGATCAATAATAGATTTAGGAGGTGTAGTTGAGATGGGGAGAAGGAGGGGGAGCCCCGCCATGCTTTATGCCCTTCTGATAACACCTCCCAAAATCACGAGTAGCGACTTCTCAAATGAAGACGCTTAGAATAGATGAAAAGAAATATATCGTTTGCTACAATAGGTGAAATCCACAGACCTGATTGGCGGAGATATACGAAATGTATTAATAATCGCCCAAAGTGCTGATCTCATTCCAAGGCAATTAAGTTAAAATTCTAAAATTCCATAAAAATGCACTTTTGTAGGATCGCGTCTCAATCCCTGTATTCATCCCCGACTAATGTAACCGACAATCAGCGAATGCTTCGTTATAAGCTAACCTTTTGCAGAGCCCCATTGACTTCGAAGAATGACAGTTTGTCTTTTCGATAGATCTCGTTGCCTGGGGGGAATCGTCGCTTACAGCGGAGCTACAGAGAAAAAAAGTGGCACATCATAAGCAACGGAACCTGTATCTAATTCGATTGCTTCAACATATTAAAATTGTAGGCACAACCACACCCTCAAATAGAGCTCAGGAAGTATAAGGTGTCTGGAGGTCGATTCGTGGAATTAAACATTCGTCCCTCGAAAGTGTTCTGAGTTTCCTACCCTATGACGACGGTAGCCAACGAGATGAGGCACATAGGAGAGACAAAATTCGCAGATATAAATTCGAGGTAGACAGGCAATCGAGGGTGGGAAGACACTCCCGTACCATGTTTGCATTTCCCAATCACCAAACACGATCTCCTTGATATTATTTTCGGTGTATAAAGGAGTTTCAATAGTAGCACTGGGTAAGGGTGAAATGAAGACCTGGGATGAGAGTGGTTTCTTGTCTTTCTGTATCCCATGTAGCTTTGCCAGAGTAATAAGATGATCGGTGACTTCCCTCCCCTAAAATATCAATTGGAAAACAATAAACAACAGGACGAACTTCGATAACCCCTTGGATCGGGTGTTGCAGGGAGTAAATCGGCAAGAAATCGCAGAACTGCTTTAGGCAAACAAAAACGTGGAAAGAAATACAAAGTCCAGACCTTATCTGAAGCCAGCTTTTGCTGCGCTCGACGGAACAGGAGGATATCGGCGTCAGAACCAAGACCATCAAGACAGGGTTCATGAATTTTGATAAATTGTTCACCTGTGGCTACTTCCTCAGTAGCTTTTGGAAAGGGTTCAAGATCTTGACCGTGACTCCGAATCCCACGGAAGTACTCTTTAGTACCATTGTGGTATTTTGGACAACCAGAGAGGGTTATATGACAACTGCTAAGACCGTCAACATGCCCAAGACTGTCGCACCCCTTGAGAATGCAATATTTCGGAATATATACAGGGGCTATACACAAGAGGTGAAAAGTTATACGATAAAATACGTAAGGGCTCAAACAGCATAGGGGAGCGGAGCATAAGGGCATTACGCCTTGCAATAAGATGAGCTTTCTTGACTATAGTTTTCTCTCTGGCGTCATGTGATCGCGCAAGTTTACGACGATCTAGCAAGCTTTAGGAATATAATCATGCTTACTCTTTCTCCGAGGCATTAATTTTTAACTTTAAGATGCCAACGTACGCCCAAACAAGTCAAGCAGCGGCCCTAACATGCGAATAAGTGAAACAAAGTTCAAAGCAAGTATATCAAATAAAAGATCTTCAATGTATAGTTATCTTTGTCATGCTATGGAAGCAGAAGTTCGGGTTCATGAATAAAAAAGGCCTTATACTTTAGCTTATAAGACAAAATGTAGTTAAGTTGCAACTGTGACTTTCTTCATTAAAATTTTTGCCTGTTTTTAAATTGCGGCATTATGCGGTATTTCCTACTTTTCCTCTTTTTACACCACATTTATCAGTTCGTAATTTTAATTAGTCTTGATGTTGCTGCTATTGGTTGGGT